GACGGACCGAAACTAACCTAAAGTTAATAAAATATGAGTGTGTACCTGAATTTGGGCAAAAATCAACCTAAAATACTTTGTTTCCGCAATTTTATTTATTAGTTCCCGCCCTACATTAGAATTCAAACTTGTCCCGATTTCGCCGCCAATCCTCTAGCCAATAGTAGAGGTGATTGAAAAGAAGCTCTAGAAGCTTCATTTTTTGCTTTTAGTGCTCCGTCTTTATGTCTTTGGATTGAACAATCGAACTCCTTTGGCCATTTGTTTGAGGTTAACTCATCGGTTGAATATTGTCAGGGACCAGTTCTATAGGACCCTGGACTCCCGTAAGAAACAATGTAAAAATTCGTGAGCAGGTACTAGTGCTGCTGTCTCGCGTAGGATCCTTGTAACTCACTGCTGTTATCAGTTGTTGGACTTCATTAAAATCCGTAGGATCGCGTATAACTGCAAAAATTCGAATTTTTCACCGTATCTTTACAAGCGGCGAGTCCTTCCTAGACGAAAGGGGTCGACAAACGCCAAAAATATACTTATTTTTCAAGAATTCAGCCGCCTTATGTGTTATTTTTCAATCTCCGGCATAACATCACTTTTGGAGCGGGCGATGGATGAGTCGACCTTCTGCACCTACCCTAACACGCTTGGGTGTGCGAGAGAGACAGAAAACAGCCAGGCAGCTCGCCTAAGTTCGCGAGAATGATAGAAAATAGCCAAGCGTCTCGCGTATGAGTGCGAGAGAGAAAGAAAATCGCCAGGCGGGACTTGCGTTGTTTTTCCGGAAAGGGCGCATGGCGTTCCCCCGCGACCCTCTGAGAGCGGTTGCATCATACCCTCACACGCTTGGGTGTGCGAGAGAGACAGAAAACAGCCAGGCAGCTCGCCTAAGTGTGCGAGAGAGATGGAAAATAGCCAAGCGTCTCGTGTATGAGTGCGAGAGAGAAAGAAAATCGCCAGGCGGGACTTTCGTTGTTTTCCCGGCAAAGGCGCATGGCGTTCCCCCGCGACCCTCTGAGAGCGGTTGCACCATACCTTCACACGCTTGAATGTGCGAGAGCGACAGAAAACAGCGAAGCAGCTCGCCAAAGTGTGCGAAAGAGATAGAAAGTAGCCAAGCGTCTCGCGTATGAGTGCGAGAGAGAAAGAAAATCGCCAGGCGGGACTCGCGTCGTTTTTCCGGCAAAGGCGCATGGCGTTCCCCCGCGACCCTCTGAGAGCGGTTGCACCCTACCCTCACACGCTTGGGTGTGCGAGAGAGACAGAAAACAGCCAGGCAGCTCGCCTAAGTGTGCGAGAGAGATAGAAAATATCCAAGGGTCTCGCTTATAAGTGCGAGAGAGAAAGAAAATCGCATTGCGTTCCCCCGCGACCCTCTGAGAGTGGTTGCACCCTACCCTAACTCGCCTGGGTGTGCGAGAGACCGTGCGGGTTAGGGTGCAACCGCTCTCAGAGGGTCGCGGGGGAACGCCATGCGATTTTCTTTCTCTCTCGCACTTATACGCGAGACGCTTGCCAATTTTCTATCTCTCTCGCACACTTAGGCGAGGTGCCTGGCTGTTTCCTGTCTCTCTCGCACACCCAAGCGTGGAAGGGTAGGGTGCAACCGCTCTCAGAGGGTCGCGGGGGAACGCCATGCGCCTTTGCCGGCAAAACAACGAAAGTCCCGCCTGGCGATTTTCTTTCTCTCTCGCACTAATACGCGAGACGCTTGGCTATTTTCTATCTCTCTCGCACACAAAGGCGAGCTGCCTGGCTGTTTTCTGTCTCTCTCGCACACCCAGGCGAGTGAGGGTAGGGTGCAACCGCTCTCAGAGGGTCGCGGGGGAACGCCATGCGATTTTCTTTCCCTCTCGCTCGTATACGCGAGACACTTGGCTATTTTCTATCTCTCTCGCACACTTATGCGAGCTGCCTGGCTGTTTTCTGTCTCTCTCGCACACCCAGGCGAGTGAGGGTAGGGTGCAACCAATCTCAACAACGCAAGTCCCGCCTGGCGTTTTTCTTTCTCTCTCGCACTCATACGCGAGACGCTTGGCTATTTTCTATCTCTCTCGCACACCCAGGCGAGTGAGGGTAGGGTGCAACCACTCTCAGAGGGTCGCGGGGGAACGCAATGCGATTTTCTTTCTCTCTCGCACTCATACGCGAGACGCTTGGCTATTTTCTATCTCTCTCGCACACATAGGCAAGCTGCCTGGCTGTTTTCTGTCTCTCTCGCACACCCAGGCGAGTTAGGGTAGGGTGCAACCGCTCTCAGAGGGTCGCGGGGAAACGCCATGCGATTTTCTTTCTTTCTCGCACTTAAACGCGAGACGCTTGGCAATTTTCTATCTCTCTCGCACACTTAGGCGAGGTGCCTGGCTGTTTTCTGTCTCTCTCGCACACCCAGGCGAGTGAGGGTAGGGTGCAACCAATCTCAGAGGGTCGCGAGGGAACGCCATGCGCCTTTGCCGGAAAAACAACGCAAGTCCCGCCTGGCGATTTTTTTTCTCTCTCGCACTCATACGCGAGACGCTTGGCTATTTTCTATCTCTCTCGCACACATAGGCGAGCTGCCTGGCTGTTTTCTGTCTCTCTCGCACACCCAGGCGAGTTAGGGTAGGGTGCAACCGCTCTCAGAGGGTCGCGGGGGAACGCAATGCGATTTTCTTTCTCTCTCGCACTTATACGCGAGACGCTTGGCTATTTTCTATCTCTCTCGCACACTAAAGCGAGCTGCCTGGCTGTTTTCTGTCTCTCTCGCACACCCAGGCGAGTGAGGGTAGGGTGCAACCACTCTCAGAGGGTCGCGGGGAAACGCAATGCGATTTTCTTTCTCTCTCGCACTTATACGAGAGACGCTTGGCTATTTTCTATCTCTCTCGCACACTTAAGCGAGGTGCCTGGCTGTTTTCTGTCTCTCTCGCACACCCAGGCGAGTAAGGGTAGGGTGCAACCAATCTCAGAGGGTCGCGGGGGAACGCCGTGCGCCTGCTTTGCCGGAAAAACAACGCAAGTCCCGCCTGGCGTTTTTCTTTCTCCCTCGCACTGAAACGCGAGACGCTTGGCTATTTTCTATCTCTCTCGCACACTTATGCGAGCTGCCTGGCTGTTTTCTGTCTCTCTCGCACACCCAGGCGAGTGAAGGTAGGGTGCAACCAATCTCAACAACGCAAGTCCCGCCTGGCGTTTTTCGATCTCTCTTGCACACTTAGGCGAGCTGCCTGGCATTTTCTATCTCTCTCGCACACCCAGGCGAGTGAGGGTAGGGTGCAACCACTCTCAGAGGGTCGCGGGGGAACGCAATGCGATTTTCTTTCTCTCTCGCACTTATACGGGAGACGCTTGGCTATTTTCTATCTCTCTCGCACACTTAAGCTAGGTGCCTGGCTGTTTTCTGTCTCTCTCACACACCCAGGCGAGTAAGGGTAGGGTGCAACCAATCTCAGAGGGTCGCGGGGGAACGCACTGCGCCTGCTTTGCCGGAAAAACAACGCAAGTCCCGCCGGGCTTTTTTCTTTCTCCCTCGCACTGATACGC